CCAAGGAAGGATTAGTGTGATGATGAATTGTTGCTTTGAACGCATAAAGGTGGTTTAAACTTCGTAATTGTCAACTGGAGCTTCCACTAACTTTAGGATATGTCCCAAAAATGTTTTATTGATAGGTTTGAAAGACGTGTAAACAACAATCTTATGTCCTATCTTAATAATATGTGTCGCAATAGAGGGATTCAATTTGGGTGTATCGGCTGCACATTCTCAATTATTCTGATCTTAGCTGCATGAAGAGTCTTTTTAACCACAGTGTTCAATCTCTGTGGAGATACCAAGATGGTGTGATCACCAAGGCGTAGAGTATCTTGATGTACACGTCTTTCTTAGGGGTGAGTTGGAGAGTGGCTCTTGCTGTTCCGAACACTTTAAATCTCCTTATGAACTTGTTTGGATAATTATTACCAACCAGAGTTGCTGTCACTTTTCTTTCTTCTTCATCAAGTGTGTCTTCGGTTCATATTCATTGGAATCTACTGAAGAGGCACCTCTTTAAGGCTCTTTTCTACCGAACAGGGCAGAAACTGTGATAACTGAGATACTGTTATTTCCAGGTAGGTTTTCTATAAATAGATTTTATTTATTTATTTATTTAAACGCAGAAAAACTTGGTACAATATGGCACCAAGAAAGATGCACCACACAATAATAATAAAACAGCAGCACATGTCCAAGCCACCGGAGCCGGTGTTTCCAAATGACGACACTCAATGAGTGGTGATCTCCACTGTGTTCAGACACACACCGCCGAACCTCAGAATTACTCACGCAATGATGCCATCGAACGCAAGCAATCCTGCGGAGACAGCGATGATCGAACACACAGAGTCGACTCACATCCTCAGCTCGGAGAGGCCAGGTTTCACAGGCGTAGAGCAAGACAGCCCGCACCGAAGCATTGTATACCCAACCTTTGACAGCCAGGCACCAGAGGTGGCTGAAGTTGATGTTTGCTACCCTAGCCTTCATTATACAGTTGGAAATCTCATCCGTCATCCCTCCACCAGCACTCACACAACTACCCAGATACGCAAACTTATCAACAACTTCAAGCGGTTCACCCGCAAGAGTTAGTGCAGGTACAGGCTCCTGCCAATCTTGTAACAGTACTTTGCACTTAGACGGTGCAAAGCACATACCACACTTACAGACACTGATCGCCAACTGATTAAGTGCGATTTGGGCAGCCTGCATGCTATCGCACAGTAAGACGATATCGTCTGCATACTCGAGGTCGAAAAGTCTATCTCCAGGTAGCAGATCTACACCACCTCCACGCACATCCTTCAGAGCTGACTCCAGAATGTCATCGATGGCAAAGTTAAAGAGAAATGGAGAGATTGGCAACCCTGTCTAACCCCACTGTTGGTTAGGAACAGTGATGATAGTTGGTTGCACTCACTCTACCTGAGGTGTTTCTGTATAGGGCTTTCAAGATGTTAACAAATTTCTCAGGTACACCTCTCTCTAACAGACAGTTCCAGGGCACAGTTCTGTCCAACGAATCGAAGGCAGCCCTAATGTCAAGAAACACAACGATCGTAGGCCTGCAATACGTGTGTCGTTGTTCCAACAACTGACGAAGGGTGAACACATGATCAATGCATCCATGACCTGAACGAAACACAGCCTGCTCTTCGCGAATCACTCCTTCACGTATTTTGCACAGCCTGCGAAGCAAGACAGCAGCCAATAATTTAGAGGCGACTGGTAGCAGACTGATACCCCTATGATTGTCACACGAATTACGTCGACCCTTTTTAAAGATGAGGACGATAATGGTTTCGTTCCACATTGATGGTAAACTTTCAGTTTCCCATACCTTCCTGAACAACCCAGTTAGAGCCATTGTGAGAATCTCGCCACCATCTTTAAAAAGAGCCGGGGGTAAATTGTCTGGGCCGGGCGCCTTATGGCGTTTTAACACTTGGAGTTCCTTACGGACCTCCACTTCGGTGGGTGGGTCGGTATTAACCGACCAAGGAACACTGGGGCTAATGACAGCAAACATTGAAGCTGGTGGCCAGCTAAACTGTTTCCCGAAGTGCTCTGCCCAGCATTCCAGGCGTCTTTTCAAGTTGGTAATTGGCGTGCCATCTGCTTCACAGACCGTTTCGCTGACACCTTGTTTCTTGCTGCCGGTGGCTCGGATGAGCTGGAACAGCTTCTGACTGTTGCCAGATGCAGCAGCTGACTCCATCTCACCCACACGTTCTGACCACCAGGCCTCGCGATCCTTACGTAAACACTTTCTTATCTTGCGCGTCAGCGCCTTTCGCTTATTGCTGTATTCGCTGCCAGCCGGAATGGACCGGCGTTCATCCAGGAGTTGCAAGGAACTAGCAGAAACTCAGTGGTTTTTGACGGAGCATTCTTTCAAGCCGCAAACGGCTACACTCGCTCTTTGCATGGCACCTTGCAGATGAAGCCAATGTTCATCTATACTGCTTGGGGGGCTGCTGGCAAGCATTAACTGTAACTCATTCTGATATTTCAAACAAGTAGCAGGTGCTACTAGTTTGCTCACATCAACGTTTAGACGACGCCTTTTATGAACCCCACCAAATCGCAAGACGAACTTGGCACACACTAACGTATGATCGGAGTCCAGGCATGTGCTCCAGAAGGAGCGACAGTCTTGTATGCATCCTCGCCACCGGAAACTGACAACAATGTGATCGATCTGAGTCCAAGCTTGGTTCGCAGAGGGAGGACACCAGGTAGCACTACGGCGATGGTTGTGCTGGAATTTGGTGCTGGCCAGAAATAGGTTGTGATCCGCGCAAAGCTGCAGAAGACGGTCCCCATTATCTAACCTGCGACCATGTAGTGCCCACTGACCACCTAGACGATTCTCCTCTGAGCTCAGACGCCCTACCAGCACTACGATATCACTCCGACCCGCCTGTCTCAAGAGATCGTTAAGTTGATGGTAGAACTCGTCCTTCATTGCATCCGGGCTGCAATCCGTTGGTGCATAGGCAGAGACAACAAATAGACACCGCCTATCTGGCATACTACTCCTTACTTTCGTATAACCTTCCAGCCTCACATCACATAAACGACTGTTAATGGGAATCCAGTCGAGCAGTGCAGCTTCGGCTCTAGTGCTCAGTGCGACGCCGACACCAGCTACGCCGGATGCCGACGCCACAGGGTCCCCGGACAAGCGCAGGTGGTATATACTACTAGAACTTCCAGATGGAGAGGATAATCGAAGCACTTCACTAGGATCTTGAATGCGGGTTTCCGAAATGCAGCAGACATAGATAGCGAGGCTTTCTAATCTTCTTACCAACCCTGCCTGTTGTCCGATTCGCACCATTGTCCGAAAATTGTAGGTGGCCAGCTTGAACGCGGCACGCGGTTTCTGGATATCTGTGTTAGATGTCACATTAGGGACAACCATTTTGAGGGTTACACACTAACATCTCGAAACTACACACATAGGCTAGGAATCCAGACAAAGGCGAAAGGCTGTCGAAGGTTAAGAAGTCAAGGTGAGCAAAGGTAAAATACAGGAAACTAAGTATAAAAATAAAAGTAAGGCTGGAAGGACATAAGTTGCTTGCGGTATCATTATTTCTTGAAATCATTTTTGCGAGCGCGCGGTGGGTTTCCATAACAACTTGTTGCTTCATTTCATTTATTTTGTGAGGGCTGGGATACTGCCCGGGCGCCCAGACCGAAGCAGGTGGTTTTCTTATGGGAACACCCCGCGAGCCTTTGACTTGGAGTCTAGTCCGCAAAGCAGTGGAGCAGCGTCAGGTGCTGAGTTCTCATGGTTGCCGGTGACCCATATGGGTTCGTAAGCCATTTGATCTGATTGGAGTCTGGAGCCCATGTACCCCATGGTAACTGCTTTTAGTCTAACCGCTATCCAAACAACCTTCCTGGCATGGTAGGACCTGCAGGGACATGAGTCCCAGCCAGTTTAGCTTGTTGGGTCACTGCGGCATTCAAGTCCGACCACCTCGGCAAGGTAGTAGTTATCGGCCGGGTCTATAAATAGATCGTTTTATTAATCCATCAAGCCACCAATTAATCAGTATATATAGGAAACATAAACAGTTATTCGAGTATTGCTTTTTAGGGATTCGATTGATTATTTACAGGATTTCATCATGAGCTGACATCGGTTAGAGAACCATTGAAAAAACCTAGGAGTACTAGACAGCTGTTTCATCCTAGTTTGAGACTCTTCATAAGTACTCACCCACTGGGACTCGAACACATCACCTTCTCTTTACAAGGAGAGGACGTAGACCATTAAGCCACTGGGACCTGATTCAGTGGTCAGCCCCTGAATTCCGGCTTCTGCCAATTCATGACATGGCGCAACCACTAGTCACTGACACTAGGGTCGAGGATTTGTCCAACACGCCCGACCTGCTGTATCCTACTGGCCACAACGTGAGCTCTGAAGAGACCCAAACCAGGTTTTCTCTAACCGGACAAATTCCCCTGATAAATTTTGTTTTAATTTTATATATATTTCGAGCAAATTAGATGCAGTATTGTGACAGATGCTGAGAATTCCATTCTGAATTATAAGTACTGTTTTTGGAATAAAGTAGATTATTACTAACCGATGCCAGCTCATGATGGAATGATGTACCAAATAATCTTATCTGTGTGAGAACACAACCAAGTGAATTAGATTCTAAGTCATAAAATCTACAATACTCTCCTCTCACACTCCATCATACATTCCTATCACCCTTTCATTTGTTGATAAATTCCCTCTCATACAACTGAGCAGTCATCAAAAGTGATTTAGTTTTAAGTGAACTCATGTGATATTATAACTCAATGTTTGAAGTGTACTCAACCTTCTTCTTCTAATTATTATATTTAATCAAGTACAGCTTATCGTTTCAAGAATAACAGGCAATCATATGGTGACGCTGATGATTATGATGATGCCACTTAGAAAATAATTATATAAACGGAGGAATTAGACATTCACTTTCAAACATTGTAAGGTGAAGAGAAATATGATGCTCTCAGTGCAGTTTGTTCTACTGTTCGTATTTCGATTAGCGCTGGCTGATTGGGATGCGTATACAGCTAAAATATTCGAAATGCATAATGATTATCGTCAAAAATTACTTTCGTGTAAAGTAAACGGACAACCAGCAGCTGTGAGAATGCCTAAACTTGTAAGTCCATTTTTACATTGTGTTTAATATTTCCTCAGTAATTTGTATTCTTCATGAAGTGTTAGAACAGTTTAGGTCACTTGTAGATTGTGATGGTTGAATAAACTTCCTGTGTATGCAGAGTTTAGAATTGATTGTGTGAATTGCCAACGCCTTGGTGGTTTGAAGGAGTTTGATTCGGAGTCCTTTAGAAAGACTATCGCGCACTGTGTACGCGCCACAGATGATCAACTATTCCAGGATAGATCCACGGGGAACCTTTTTCTCTTCAATATAACAGTGAGAGTAGGTGTTCAAGGATACGTTCCCACAACAAAAGCTGAGCATAACCGACATAATTAGTTGCACAAAAGCAGGTAAATAGTTAGACAGACATTAGTAAGGTCAGCAGTGGTAGGTTATCCTTCAAATATATACGAACGACTGGTTATTTGGAGGAAGTGAGTCGGAGTTCAACTGACCAGGTTAGGCGGTTTCTCACTATTTCTACCGATCATTCTCCGCTGAATTAAAGAAACAGACAGAGGAGGTTTTCGAGAAGGGAGGTGTTTATGGTTCAAGGGGTATAGGTGTCATGCGATCGACTATGTTGAATCCGAGGTATTCTATTGCGTAAATCAGAACTCATCGCAACTATTCAACTTCAAATCTGCCTCTTTTCTCTTCTTAAACAGTGCACCGATTAATGCATGTATGTATACATCACCAACTTTTTTCCCTCTATATTACAGTCATGGAATCGAGAACTGGCTAGTCAAGCAAAAGCATTATCCAAAACCTGTAAATTTGGATTCGATAAGCCTACAAGTAGAAAATTTCCTGAAGTTGGACAGAATATCGCTGCTTATCAAACTGTTGAACAGTAATCATTCACATAAAATAAAATAAATACCCTACACCTCTATTTTAGAGCTATGGAGGAATGGTTCGGTGAACACAAATATTACGACTTTAAAAACAATCAGTGCAATGACAGATGTGGAAACTACATGCAGGTGAGTGAGTGAGTGTTGACTGATGGATGAACTTCAGACACAGTATTACTGTCAGCGATTGTTAGCTGAGACTTGTTGTGAAGTGTAATGAATTGTTTTCCAAAGGGGCTAGTTGTTCACCTACTTTCTACATAGATCTGTTCTTCTGGAAGGTGACTGTCTCAGTGGTCTTTACACTTCCTGATCTTGAATGTCTAAGAGACTTGATATTCACCTCACGAATCAGTGATATTCGAATCCTTTCGATAAACTTTCCCTGCAATCTAAAATCCCATCAGTTTAACCAAGTGTTGTCTATGATATTTTGGATTGAAATATAGTGTGAATTTGTTAGATACAATACATTTTCGTTTGTACAAACTATGAGTTGTTCAAGCGATCGATTTCTTCAATAGGGATTCACCAGCACATAGCCACTTCAATCTATCCTCTGTGGTCCTCTGCTATAGCTCACAAACGACCAAAGCGGTTCATTCACTCCTCACACGATCTCCGAAACTTCACATTCCGACCAAATCTCAACTTGACGTTTCCCACTCCAGGTTCCACTAGGGGCTCTTGCCTCGCCTGGTTTACTAGTTTTTTAGATTTCTATCCGATTTTAAGTCCCTACAGAAGAGTCAAATGTGGGCGTTGGATTAGATATTCAATCTTAGGAAACCTCAGAAAACTTTTATTGAAACTTTAACTGTATGTTGATCTTTTCTACTGAATTCATTTTGTTTTTCATTTCATGTTTTGCAGATGGCTTTCGCCAACACCACAGATATTGGATGTGGAGTGACCGAATGCCCATACAGTGAAAACTTTAAATACGGTTTATTCATCGTCTGTAACTATGGCCCAGGGTAATTATTTGACTAATTCTTACTGATAATTTCTTTTTATTATACTGTGAATTTATTCAATTCATTGTTAAATAGTTAAGAGATAAACTTTACAGGATTGTTTCAACTAGCAGAATTTTATTGACCTGTATTTCTTTTTATAAATGTTAATACCTACTCCAAAGATACACATGTGAGCGTCGAACAATTCCCAAGTGTTTGTTTGCTAGGATTTGACTGATTTCACAAATGATCGTGAAATAAATTCAGTTAGAGTACCTCTAGAAACCAGGTAGTATATGAAAAGCTGCTCTCTTTTTCGGTTGGAACCGTTCATCACTACGCAACGATGACTTCAGCATGGATCGAACGCCAAGCCACTGTATTCCGTTTCGGTGACTGAAAGGTCTATATGCCTGCCTTGTAACTTGAATACCTTCGGTTCAACAACCAGAGGCGCCTAAACAGGACGGGAACCGCTATGAAGTTCAATCCATTCGTGTCAATTTTTAATTTCTCACTATTTGAATAAATGAACGACAGTAGGCGCATAGCTCAGTATTATGAAATTATATCCAAACATGCATAAAGTGCACTTCAGCCTTCCCAATAGTTAAATTTGTGCTAAATTTCCAATCGTGTTTCCAACATTTTGATTTATATTCTTATTCCTTTTTACAAATTATTAAAAATTCAGAGCAAACTTTTATGTGAGACCATATGAAGCCAAAAATATCAATCAAGTATGCCCAGTGACAACTGTTCAACCAGGACGTGGAAAATGGCAAGCTACTAAAGGCACTATGAATTTCAATGCAAGAAATTGTTACTGTTATAAATGAACACAGAAAAATAATTGTGCTTTCTTGTTATAAAATCTATGTAATCTAATAAATGCACTTTTCATAAACAGTTACATAGTGACTTTTGTATTTAGCGGGTTTCTTGTATTTTTGAAGTGTCTATGTGAAATAGTTAGTTACGTGTTGGGTTGGGTTGGGTTAGTGAATACTTTGAACTATAAATGCGATATTCTTGGTGATTGCAAAGTGCCTGTTTTGTTGTGCATTTATTCCCGATGACAGACTTCAGAATATGCTCTGCATCCGGATAGTGAGTGGTACATGAAGTCATCGGATTGATTTAGAGCAGTTTAGCTGTTAGTGATGTCAACATCACACATTCAGGTAACTTTGTGTTGATTCTTCTACCTTGAATGTTACCTGTATGCGGTGGAACTTCTACTTCGTACAAAGAGGAATCTAGAACTAAGACAATTACATCTAGTCCACGTGAGCATATTTAAGGTTTTTAGACAAAGCAATAACAAATCTCTGTGCAGAGGAATTTCAGACCATTACTTATTTATTTCGAGGTCGGATTCCATTCAGTTGCCTGAAACCTATTAGTTGATCTTGTGAAAATGTACATAGAATTTCGCCATACTTTGTAGGATTAGCATGATTTCTGTTAACGGACAAATGTTTTATAAACATTGTTTAGAAGTAACACTTATATAACCTATTTGTGGAGGAGGAATTCAAGGCTCAAACAGAATGCAAACATACGAATTCAATGGTCGGATAAATTGAAATTTGGGTTGCATAGTCAAGACAAGAAGAGCAGAGAAGTTGTTGATGATGGGTAATAGTATAGCGAGTTCACCAGAAGTCATAAAACCAATAAGAGCTGAACTCCACTGAAGCAAAATATGAGGGTGGTTGGATAAAACCAAAAGATCGTGTAATCAGTTGAGACGAAGATACTAGACATTGGGTCATCAAGGCAAGAGAATACTAGTAATTGGATTTTTCTGAACATATAAGTCAGGTTTTCAACATCTGATAGGGCATTGCTTCGCCAAACTGCAGGAAAGTTGAGTTGAATCATCTATTGAAAGGTCTGAATGATTCCATGCTGTTCACATCATGACCTGTATCAACAAGATGTCTGGCAATAACAGTGTTCAAAGCATTTGTTCTCCTGAGATGCAAACATTTTGATACATGTTCAGAGAACCTGAGATATGCAGTTATTTACGTTCTCCCAATTTAACTGCTCCTGCAGATACACGTAAATATGCATGCATTATTAGAGTTAACATGGGAAGGGTATCTATCTAACACCCTTTGATTGTATCAAACAGTTTGTTATTCAATAAACGGGAACCAATTTGACAGCAGAATAGATTCTGGTTAGAGAAGTTTTCGATCCCCAATTGATTATTCCTGCAACACTATCACCTGTGAAGATGCTAATATGTTCACATGATCAACTTTTAGGTTGTAAGCAGTTGGGGAGAATCCGAAGAAATAAAGAAATGATGGCTCCATATTCTTTGTTACAAACATTCATTTATGCTTCGATGAAATTCATAAGATGGAATAAATATATGAATATTTTAGGTGTTGTTAGTTATGTCCTAACGCGTAAACATCTAAATAAGTTCGGGCAGCATTTTGGATTTCTGCTTTATGCTGATACAACGCACCTAATTTTAACTTCATGGCATCAATCAAGTGTCCGTTTCAAGAGAAATGTCAAAAGAAAGTAGGCATTTTACTCAGGAAAAATCCAGTCAACGATTAATTCATAATCATGTCCTTGCGCTTGTGAGAAAACGGCATCTAATTCGACTAAACTTTGGCGCCTCTTGTGACATGTAAATGAACTTTCAAAAAATGTAACTGACGAAGAAATTGTAAGGTTCACAGGATGCACACCATTCAAGTCATGATGAATTCACTATTTCCACAGGCATTGGTAGTGGAATCAAATTCACTTCTTACGACTGTGAATTATTTATCGGAATAAGAGAAACGATAAACGATTCGTTTGTGAAATCCTTCCTGACATTTATCAACGTCTCATCATATTCTTTAGGGTAAATGTTTGACACAACATTGTTTTCACAAAGTGATGGTGAGATAATTTTAAAACCGGTCATCCATATGCCGAAAACATTTCTAAACTAAGCAGAGACGTTCTCATCATCTGATAATGAAGTATCAACATTCAATGACGCTTCCTACGTTTTTGGTTTTTGGTTTCAATATCGAAATCGCACCATCATAACTTGCTTCCTGTCAAGACAACTAACTTTCTGTACAATGCACAAATGAGTTAGATTATCGCCACTATTAATAATATGATTATTCCCTTGGGTTCTGGGTGGAATATTGGACTACAGCAGTATGTCTTCACTTCACCCAATTCTCTGAAATCTTTTCACGATGACTCGACGATTCTCCATAAGCATTTGTTTCCCTCGCATAGAATTTCCTCCATGTAACCATCTGACACATGATATCACTCACTGATCTCCTCAGATTATGAGACTGGTTCCATGACAAAAGAATCTAGTCATGATGCCTTGAGGGATTCATATAAAAGGCAATGTGAGATGATACTTATTACTTATTGGTTTCTCAATCTTTTCAGTCGAATTTGTCGAGTTTGAAATTTTTGAGAATTTTCCATGATCATTTAGTAGGCTATTCGAATTTTCGATGTATTCCTTCCTATTTATGATTTCTACTCCAGAACCTTTGTTCGGTTTAGCAGTTACTAAATTCTGGTCTCTTTGTCGGAGCTTATCTAAGGCTTCCCTACATATTTAAGCCAGTATACTGTTTCATTTCAGTTCACTATTCATTCGTTAAAAGAAACAGTCAACAAGAGTTGATTTAAGTCTTTCAACTGCCCTCATTGATGAAGATATTAAGTCTTCAGTTTGCGTATAGAGGTTTTCAAACTGAGCTTGTATATCTACTTTATTAAATCTAACATGTTTATCAAAAGACTTAGGGTAAAGGATAGTACCCCAAGATCTATTCCAACAACCCCAACGTCTAGACCAATGGTGGTTTTGAGGGATTAGCATTTCAGAAGTTTGGCATTCCAAACTTTGTAATAATTCAGTACGTTTATTTTCTTTCCTCTTACCAGCAACTTGATAAACATAGTCCAGGAAAGATTAATTTAATTGATGTAATAGTTTGTCTACAGCGAAGAACGTTTTAGCAGTATTCTTTGACAACTCAATAACATATGATTTCAGGGAATCAACCAGATTCAGTGAGTGGAGTTTCAAGTTTCTACCATTTGGCTGCACTATGCTACAGCGTCAAGGTTTTCAGTGAGACTTGAGATAACGGCTGCTTTCAATGCACTTGAGAACAAAGTCCACAGAAATTCTCGCTTCATCTCCAACGCAAATTATTTATCCTTAGATTTCAGTATGGAAACAATCCTCATTTAGACACTTAGAGGACAAGAAAATCTTTGGTGTGGAAACAGCCCTCAATAGCGAAACTGAAGTTTCTTGGGGCCGATGTCAGCGAAATAGTGACAGAGCACCTGAAGAATACAGTTAAAGTAGCCTTCATTGGGACAGATATACACTGTCTCTTCACAAACACTTTAATTTTACCTTTAAAAAATGAGAAAAAATTGCCCAACTTCGCCTCACTATTGTCTCTACAGGTCTGACTACTCTTCGAAGCTAGGTGCACAACGCAAGTCATCCTACAGCATTGTTAGGCAAGCAACAAATGAGATCTATTCACAGCTGTCCCTTTCAGCATACTTTGTAAAGATTGAGCATAAAGTTGATGTTAGTAAGATGTTCAAAGTTTTATCGTATTCCGACCAAAATTAATTTTGCTTTACGAGTTCATCTCCTAAATATAGCTGAATTCATCAGAATTCATCTGAAGGAGCCAAACCTGTGTGTTCATAATAAGTTGGTTTAGTCACTTTCCTCACCTTGGCCATCATTGAATGAATTTGAGAGACTGACAATTTTCTCCTCCTCTTAATCCTTCTTCCAATAAGCTACCATCATCCCAATTACTGTATTATTCTGACTACTTCATCGTTAATTGCTTATTACGTAATCAATTTGAATTCCCATTTACTTCATAATTACTCCTTTTCCTTTCAATATTACGCATTATGTTATCCACTTGTTCAACTTTCGTGATTATTTCTACCCTTCTACTGTTATGCGTCGGTGGCAGAGCTGTTAATAAGCTCACCGACCATGCACATAGTCCATGGTTCAATCTCCAGCAGAAACACTGCTTTACCTTTCCATCCCAGAAATAAAGCTGATAAAGAGGAAAGGTTGGACATGAGGCTAGCAACCCCATCCTGTAAACATATACGCTGCTACAAAAACCTTCAAGCCTCTAGCTTGAAGACTTATGTTCCACTGGAAACATGAAGGAATTATTGATAAATAACATTAATAATAATTGCTCTGTTGTATTATCACCCCTTGACAAGTCGAGATTGCGTGAATAGTGTTAACTAACTTATCACCACGCTCGCCGACCATGCCACACATGGTCCGGGGTTCGATCTCCGGCCGACGCACTCCTTTACGTCGCTAAGCTAGAAATAATGCTGGTGAAAAGTAAAGGTTAGGCATGAGGCTAGCAACCCCATCCTGTAAAAAGTTTGTGCGTCGGTGGCACAGTGGTTAGGACTCTCGCCGACCATGCACATGGTCCGGGGTTCGATCCCCTGCCGGCGCACACCCGATATCTATGGTATGCCTGAATTTGGGCAACCGATATCCATGCTGAAAATTCCATACTTGTACTGAAAATACGGTGTGGAATCAAGCTGTAAATCAAAAAAAAAAATAAACACTGCCACAGAAACTTCAAGTCACTAGCTTGAGGCCCTATGTTCCACTGGGGAACGTGAAGGATCGAAAAAAACTTATCACCACTAGATGAATATACTCCTTTTTGCACTGTGTAAAAAATGCCACATACATTAGAGTGGACGCATAAATGAAAAAATAGAAATATTTCGTGTCTCAATCCTTTTGTC